TTGATTTTTATGTGCAGGAAGAATTGTCTTTGTCTAGTAGCATGAAAAAACGGTTTTAAAGTTATGTCATTGGGTGGTTCTCAGACTCTTGCAATGAATGACACCTCACTAGACAGTTACAGGGGTGCTTTCTTCCAAAGGAAGGCCCACGCTAAGGAGGCAGGCTTGTGCTTAGGAAGACGTTCTCACCTGCTTCTGAAGTGCTGAGTTCACAGACTTCCCAAGGAACAACCTGTCCTGGACCGAGCCATGCCCCAAGAACACAGCTCTTGCAGGGCCAGTTGAAAGGGGATGTAGCCCTAATGAGTTCAGGTTATATCCAAAATACAAGTGCTGTTGGGTGTGTTGATCTTTGTATACCTGAGGCCGCTGTTTATGGCTTTGGCCTGGAGTTGCAGTGTCCCACAGGAGACATGGCTATGGCCAGGCATGGCTATTTAAGTTTACACTAACTAAAATGAAATGCAATTAAAAACTGGGTTTCTCAGTCACACTAGTCACATTTTGAGTACTCAAGATCCATATGTGGCTCGTGGCTACCACACTGGACAGTGCAGATGTAGAACATCACTGCAGAATCAGCTGCACTGACCCAGGGAATGAATGCCACTCATGGGAGTGGACAAAAGAGAATCAAATGCAGCCCCAAAAATCAACTGGCAAGGCCTGATCCTTGTTAGCACAGTGAAAGTCTCTCAGTGACGGCTAGACTAAATGGATTGTGCAGCTGGCTGAGGATGGTATCCTTTCTCCAAGGGTCACGTGGAGCTGAACAGAGCAGACAGAAGTCACAGAAACAGATGCTTTCTCTAGACAGAGTCAGAAAACCTGGCCCTCAGACAGTGTGTGCCCTCCTGTCCTAAGACCATTGGGGCAGAGTCCACTGATTGGGCCACAGCATCAGAGCGGTCCTGCCCAGCAAGAGTTCTAGGATAACCCTGCTTAGTGGGGACACACCAGAGAATTCACACGGGGATTACAGGCATACTCTCATTTTGCACTTGGCAAGTATTTTTGGCACTGGAAATCCAATCATGAACAGATTATTGTAAATCCAATGATAGTCTTCCAGAAAAATGTTCCTGTTTATTATGTCATGTTTGTTTTCCAGGAACCAAACTGACCTTGATTAAGTAAAGGGAGATTTATTCTCAGAAGCTCGGATAATCCTGAGGAAGATTGTTCTGCCCTGACAGGGCTGGAAGTGGACCTTGGTGAGCCAGGCGGCAGCCTCCCCTACCTGTGTGCCCTTGTCACTATCTCGCCATGGGTCCCAGGTTTCTTTGTGTACACAGGCTGGCATGCTCCCTCAGCAGCCTGTATACTGTCCATCATGGCTGACCCCAACGCCTACCTTCCACCCCATCTTAGCTTCAAAGCCTAGAGCACTCGCAGAGGACAGTACTGGAGGATATCTCCCCACAGCCAGTCACTTGAGCCCAAAGGTGGATTTATTCCAAGACCGTAGAAGGCACAGGCGCTCTCAGAAGGGGAGGAGGAGGAAGAGGAAACAGCTGTCTTTCTGGTACAACTGGGCATGCAATCAGAGCATTCTCAGTACAGTCAGAAAAGAGAACACAAAACAACTGAAAATCTGTGATCATTTTCAGGGATCAAATCTGGATGGAATTAAAGATGTGAACATAAATTTACAGCGTCCAAATGTCAAGAACAGAACCTACTACATGAAGTGCTTAATGAGTATTTGTACCATGAATACATGAATGAATGGACCCACTGAACTGCAACAGACACACGGAGTACAGGCATTTTTTTTTAGTTGGAGTCTCACTCTTTGTCACCCAGGCTGGAGTGCAGTGGCACACCCATGGCCACCCCAGCCTTGATCTACTGGGCTCTGGTGATCCTTCTGTCTCAGCCTTCCAAGTAGCTGGAACCACAGGTGCACGCCACCGTGCCCGGCTAGGTTTTGTGATTTATTGTAGAGACGAGGTTTCATCAAGTTGCCTTGGGCTCAGGCAATCCCTTCGCCTTGGCCCTCCAAAGTGCTGGGATTACAGGCCTGAGTACAGGAATTTTATGTCACATATTTCATTCTAAAAAGGAAAAAAGCCCTACCTTCTTTCTTTCAATGGACATTTGCTGAAGACCTACCCTGCAGCACACACAGCAATGAAATAGACAGACACAGAGCCCACCTGCCAAAGCTCAGAGACTCTGTCTGGTGAGGAAAACAAAAAAAATGTTTTTGTTTATTGTATTGGAGTCAGAGTCTTTCTCATTCTGTCACCCAGGCTGGAGTGGAGGGACACAATCATAGCTACCGCAGCCTCGACCTTCTAGGTTCAGATGATCCTTCTGCCTCAGTCTCCCAAGTAGTTGGGACTACAGGTGCACACCTCTATGTCTCGCTAATTTTTTTATTTTATTTTTTTTGTGGAGATGAGTTCTCACTATGTTGCCTAGGCTGGTCTCGAACTCCTGGGCTCAAGCAATCCTCTTGTCTTGGCCTCCCAAAGTGCTGGGATAACAGGTGTGAGCCACTGTGCCCAGCCATTTTTTTTCTTTGACAAAAGAAAGTATTCCCAGAGCCTGTAGTGCCAGCTACTTGGAAGGCTGAGGCAGAAGGATCCCCTGAGCCCAGAAGGTTGCTGTGGTGAGCCATGATCATGCCACTGCACTCCAGCCTGGGCAATGGGGTGAGACGACGACTCAAATAAATAAATAAATAAATGATGTCACTGATAAAATACTCCTCCTGGGAAAAAATTCCTTTGTTCTAAACAATTTTTGTGGCTATGTGGTGTTTTTGTTTTATTTTGTTTGGGGGCTTGTTTTTTTTTTTGAGTTGGATTCTCACTCTGTTGCCCAGGCTGGAGAACACTGGTATGCTCAGGGTCACTCCAGTGTCAACCTGCTGGGCTCCCGTGATCCTTCCACTTCAACCTTCCAGGTAGCCAGAACTACAGGCGCGTGCTACCACATCTGGTTAATTTTTTATTTATTGTAGAGATGAGGTCTCGCCAAGTTGCCAGAGCTGGTCTTGAACTGGCGGGATCAGGCAATCCAGTCACCTCAGCCTCTCAAAGTGCTGGGATTACAGGCTGAGCTACCCATCCAGGCTGCTATGTGGTATTTTAATGATATACAAGGTCCGACAATTAGGTTCACAAACCATCCTAAAAAAAAGGCTACATACTTCATTGCTGAATATCACTACAGTCATCTTTGAAGTACTCTCCTTGGGAAGCTATGCCAGTGCTTAATTCACCCGTCAAAGCAATTTCGGAACTTTTTTTCTGGAATCGCCATCAGAGTTGTGGCTATTATTTGCTGAGGTCTGACAATTAAGTTTGAGAACTTGCCACCGTGTGCTTACCTGGGCAGCACTGCATAAATAACTGTATTGGAACACCCTCTCTACTCAACTGATCTGGCCCCCAGCGACTTTTTTCTTTACATGAAGATAAAGGAGATGTTGAAAGGAAGATATTTGATGATGTTCAGGACATCGAGAGTAATGCGACAATGGCTCCGATGGCCATTCCAGAAAAAGAGTTCCAAAACACCTTTCACTGGTGGAGTAGGCACTGACATCAATGCAAAGCTTCCTAAGGGAGTACTTCAGACGTGACCACTGTGATATTCAGCAGTGAGGTATGTGGGTTTTTTTTTTTTAATTTTTGAGTTGGAGTCTCACTCCTTCGCCCAGGCTAGAGTGCAGTGGCACGCTCACGGCCACCCCAGCATTGATCTGCTGGGCTCCAGCGATACTCCACCTCAGCCTTCCAAGTAGCCAGAACTTCAGGCACGTGCTACCATGCCTGGCTAATTTTTTAAAAAATTTATTGTAGAGACACGGTCTTGCCAAGTTGCCCAGGCTGGTCTTGAACCCACAGGCTCAGGCAATCCACTTGCCTCAGTCTCCCAAAGTGCTGGTATGACAGGCTGCGCCACCAAGCCTGGCCTATAGCACTTTTACTAGGATGAGTTTGTGAACCTAATTGTCGGACCTCCTATATGTGAACTTCACGTTTCATCATGTGCCCTTGCATAAAGGTATCCTGCACCTAAATTAACTCAGAGAACTCCTAGTTCCACAGTTGGCCCCCGATTCACACAGACTAGGCTACATGTGTTCATTTGGAGAGTGTCTAGTGCTATTCCATCCTTCAGCAGACCAACCAGCTTGTCCCAGTTCAGGAGACTTTTCTGATTTTAGCACTGAAAGTCCCAGACCAGCAGTTGGCCATCTCACCTTTGAGCCCAGCCCAGGAACAATTCATGTCTTCAACTCTCATGACATTTGAAATAAACAACATCACAGTGATTGTGAAAGCAAAGAAACAAAAGTCTGAATTAGTCCAATCTGTCATTAAATATGGAGTTTTAATACTGAAAATTTAAACAGTGAAAGTGTTAACTGCAAGATGTAATATTATTGCTTGATCATGTAACTTATAAAGTTTTAATTTATACATAAATGTTTAAGTTAATTTAAACAATATCTTTAAAATGGAAGTTTCTTCTTTTAAAATAATTTTTGTTATAAGCCTAATGAATAAATCAAGAAAATAATGATTACTGCTGATTTTTTACATAGGTTAATACAGAAATCAATGTTGTGGTATCAAGGAGAGGGTGTCAAAAGTTAACTGTTTCAGGTGTCAAGTATAGTAGCTATGACATTGAGGCCATGTATAAATTGGCTCATGTAATTCCCTTTGAGATGGTCTCTGCTCTTTTCCCCATTTGGAGATTCAGAGAAATGCCAGTGAGGGGCAGGGATTCAAACTCATGCACTCTGTCTCCAGGGTCTACCCTCTTGACTACTACACAAGTGTGTGTGTGTGTGTGTGTGTGTGTGTGTGTGTGTGTGTGTGTGTGCGCGCGCGCGCGCGCGCGCGTGTGGTTATTTAGTTTTTATTTCTCTGCAATCCAACTAGACGTGGAAGGGAATAAGGAAAATATGGAACCCAAAGAATTGTAGCGAGAGCACAAAAATTATAGGGATACCATGAGCAAAAGGGATGGAAGGGGTGCTCTCCTGAGCAACAGAAGGAATGATCTGGTAGTTTAAGATAAAACAAGTTAAATTTGTTAGAGTTGTCTACAGTCAGCAATAGTGATTTTCTTGCTGGTCCTGCTATTCTTGGACCCAAGGCCCTCCATGGCTTGCACAACATTCATGCTCTCTTTCACCTTGCCAAAAACCACATGCTTGCCATCCAACCATTCAGTCTTAGTGCAGATGAAAAATTGGGAACTGTTTGTGTAGGGTCCAGCTTTTGCCATGGACAAGATGCCAGGACCTATATGCTTCAAGATGAAGTTCTCATCATCAAATTTCTCCCCAGAGATGGATGTGCCGCCAGTGCCATTATGGCATGTAAAGTCACCACCCTGGCACATAAGCCCTGGAATAATTCTGTGAAAGCAGAAACCCTTATAGCTGAATCCTTTCTCTCCAGTGCTCAGAGCACAAATGTTTCCTGCTGTCTTTGGAACTTTGTCTGCAAACAGCTCGAAGGAGACATGGTCCAAGGGCTCACCGTCGACAGCAATTTCCAAGAACATGGCGAGGTTGACCAAGGGTGATGGGAAAAGGCTCAAGGCGGTGGTGTCCGCAAAGCCACAAGTATATACTTAAACCAGATCTATTAAACCCCAAAGGTAGGCTCTTCCGGAGAGAACTTCTTGCTGAGGTATGAAGGGTTCAAGTTAATAACTCTTTTTTGTAAGAATATCATAGCTGCTTCACTCAGTTGCAAGGCTGTGTAACAAATTACCCCCAAACCTAGTGGGATAAACAACCATCTATTATGTGCACAGATTCTGTGGGTCAGGATGGTAGGTACAGATGTGTCTCTGCTGCATGGTATCGGGGACCTCAGCTGAGAAGTGGTGACCAGCAGCGAGTGACCTTGGGGCTGGAGTTATATGGAAGTGCCCTCATTTGCATGTCTGATGGATGCCTCCTGTCAGCTGGGTCCTCAGCTCAGCTGGGAACCAGAGAGCTGCATGTAGGCTTCCCATGTAGCCTCAAGGTGACCTGACATCTTACAAGGTGACCAAGGCCCTAAGGCCAGTCTTCCAACTAACAAGGTAGAGGCTACATTGCCTTTTATGATGTGGTCTCAGATGACCTTTGCCACATTCTATGGTTTCAAACAAGTCACAAGCCTAAGGGGACTGGTCGGGAGATATTGCTTCTTGAAGGGACTGACCAGACGTACCGTTGCAGCCATCTTTGTAAAATCCAGTTCTGCAGGCCTCTCTTCTTTCTTGTCTAGCTGGTCTTGGCTCTTTGAGGCTCAGTTCCCACCTGGGCTTTCTGGGATTTCCCGCTTGCTCCAGAGCTTGGCCTATCACAGGTCTGTCAGGCAGCCCAAACCAGAGAGCATTTGGGGGCGTGGCCCTGGGAAAGGCACCAGCTAAGAGGAGACCTCTAATATGTAGGGTGTCTGCTGAGTTTTGGAGACATTTTACAGATAACTGTGCAGTCGCTACATCCTTGGACCATCAGGGACTATGTTTATACAGACTCTGAAATTTCAGACTCTCACATTTTCAAAGTAAGCCCCTATCTCACTGATCCACTGAGTAGTTTTGAATACTTTGTCTCGTCTCAACAGTCAACCTGTGCCCCTCCCCCATGAAGGCATTGCCTGACCTGCCTCTCGCTCCCCCCACCCAAGCACCCATGCTCCAGCCAAGAAAAGCAGCCAGAATGACCACTGGACACCTGCCCTGTGTTATGAGGGCAGGAGGGATGTGTGGGAAGCATGTCCTGTGGGAGTGACAGTCCAGAGGGGAAGGTCATTGAGGGGGGCACAGAGGGACAGTTTGCTTTGGAAGGTTGAGAGTGAGCAGCTCTCAAGCATCTCACTGGCTGGAAACAGAAAGGAGAGGGCTTTTAATGATGCACTGAGAACCCTTCCTTCCATGTTTGAGAAAGAAGCAAAGGAAGATCGGAATTTCTATTTGGTCTTTGAATACAGTTACTCAGGGCTGAGTTCTGGGGGACAGCCTTACAAACATCACATGCTGTGTTGCGCTTCTACAATGAGACCTGCACATACACGAGCTCAGCTCTTCAGAACAGTCTAGAAAGTGCTGGAGAAATCTCAGTCAGCCCCAAGTCATGATTCCTGTGCCATTCTCCTCTCCTTCCTTCTAACAGTCACAGTCTGATTTTGTTCAGATAGTATATTAGTTTGTGCAGACCTCCATAACAAAGCATCACAAACTGAGTGGCTTAGACAACAGAAATGCATACCCTCACAGCTCTGGAGGCCAGAAGTCTGAGATCCAGGTGTCAGCAGGAGTGCTTCCTTCTGACGCCCATGAGGGAGAATCTGTTCCGTCCCTTTCCCCCGGCTTCTGGTGGTGCTGGCCATCTTTGACTTTCCTTTGTGTGTAGAAGCATCACCTTGTCTCTGCCTTCATGTTCACATGGTGTTTTTCCTGTGTGTGTGTCTTCTTTGTGTCCAAATTTCTCCTTAATGAAAGGACACCAGTCCACTGGATTTGAGCCCACCCTTACGGCCTCATTTAACTTGATTACCTCTGTAAAGACCCTATTCCCCAATAAAGTTACCTTCTGAAATACTGGGGTTAGGATTCAGCATGTGAATTTAGGGGCAGGAGACATGGTTTAACTCATAACAGATGGCATCTTCCAAGTGGCCGTGCTCTTCATGGGAGACCTGGGCCCATTTCCAGTGCAAAGAAGTGGGTCATGAGCAGTTGAAGTCAACCATGATGGTGTGACTTCCTCCTAGGAATGTGGGAAGGCAAGGAATGTGACACATTCCTCCCAGTGAGCCAGGGAAGGAAGGATGCTGGGAAAAGTGATTTCTTGGGTACAAAGAGTTGTAGATGAAGAGATGCCCTTTTCCTCTTTCCACAGCCGCCATTTTATCTGTAGATGATGGCTGGAGCTGGGGCAGCCTTCTTGGAAACATGAGGGGGGCTGAGCCAGCACCTGGGCATGGACATGCAGATGAAAAGAACCCAGGTCTTTGATGTTCTTGAAGTTCTGAATATATGAAACTGGAGCCTCCCTTCCTTGAGACTTCTTGTTATGTGAGATGATGCATTTTCCTTATTGCCTAAATCAATATGAAATGTCACCCAGAGCTTACTAGAACGCTTATTAGAAATGTCCCACACGTGAGCAGAAAGAAGACTTGGCCAGGTCTTGGGGAAGGGAGCTGAGCCTGTCCTTGCCTGCCTGCTGCCAAACCCGCACCCCAGCCCTTTGGGTCTGCTCCATTTCTCTGGCAGAGTGGATGAGGCTGGCTTCTGAAAATGACACTTCCTGGGCTCTCTTGCCAACAGGCTGCCAACTGGGAAGCCCTGTAGGTGCCTGGGGGATGGGCGGGGGAAGCTCCCTTTCCTCCTCTCTGTCTCTCTCTCCTTCTCTTCTGACTTCTCAGTCTCTCCAGGCTGCCTTTTCCCCCTCAGCAGTTCCAGCTCCCTGTGGTCAGAAGTGCCCTGAAGTCCCAGCTCACACTGGACAGCCCCCAGGTGGCATGCCATTCCCATTTAATGGCATGTCCTATGGTTGGTAGTGGCTTCCTGAAGATGTTAGGTATTCTGTCACCTCTGTATCTAGTTCCCGTGCTAAATTCCCGCTACCGAATTGCCTGTTTGGGCCCTGAGAGATACAGGGCATGAAATGCCAAAGGGAAATGTCTTGCACCTGCATATGGTAATCAACCGGCCTCTAAAGTTGCTGGGCCCGTGGTCAGCATGGGTTTGCTTGGGTTGACTAGAAATGCCAGTGGAGTCAGAGCCCAATTGCTTGCATAACAACGGAGGGAGCCCTGGGAAGCAGTCACTGCTCCCCAGAATGACTCCTTTTCTGCCAGGTCAGAGCTCTCTGTCCTCTCCCAAAGGAAAGCTGGCACATCGGATGGGTGCCCCCTCTGCGCTCACAGGCTTCATTCTTGCCCTAGGTGCCCCAGGCTCCTACCCAACTCACCCCAGCCCCGGACAAGCCTTCTGAGCCCACATCCCTTCTCTCTGAGCTGTTTCTAACTCCTCTATCTGTGGGTCCCCATGGTGGTAGCCCATGTGGCCACTGTCCTGGTGGTCAGATGTATGAGAGCACAAGCCTGAGCATGGGTCTCCCTCTGGACCATGAGCTCCTGGAGGAGAGGCAGGGGCCTTCTCAGGCTCCTCTCCTTCTTCTTGGCATTTGTCGGGGGCTCTGGCACAGAGTCAGTGCTCACAGGTGTTGAACGGAGATAAGAAGCACTCTCCTTGGAGCATCCCACCCCTCAAGCCTGCCCTGTGGCGAAGGGCCTGCATGGCTTGGTCCGCAGGAGACCCCTGCCATGGGCCCCTCAGAAGATCTTGCCTCTGACTCAGGGATGTGGAGCTCACACAGCCCCCGGGCAGAGCACACACCTTCCAGAAGGCCTGGGTTATGCAAGGGCCCATCCACATGCTGTTCCCCGCCATGGGAGGAAGAAATCTTGCAGGCTCTGGGGCTTCCCAGAGGTGGGGCCCCACTAGGGTGGGGCTCTGGTGGAAATGGGGCAGTGGCAAACCCAGCAGAGGTGCTGTGACTTGTTGGGTCAGAGGGAGTCAGCAGGAGCTTAGAGGAAAATAAAACAAAAGAGACAGCTTTCCTTAATGCTGGGTAAGGGTTAGGCTGCTTTTGGCTCTTATCTATTCCCTGCTGGTCCCCAAGAAGGAGGTCCATACTGCAGCCATCAAGTCTTCCCTCACCCCACATGCCAATTGCACGTGGGAGACACCTAGCAGACACATATGCAATGGATAAATGAACACAAGACCACAGGAAGAGTATTTAGACTCTCTTCTTCCTCTAATTTTAGACAGCATGAGCACACCATTCTTACAGCAATCAAAAGTGACAGATTTTCAGGACAATCTAAATGTCAACTTGACAATACGGAGTGACTTTGTGGGCCAGGAATTGGGCCAGAAATGAACACACAAAGATAAGAAAATCACGGTCCTGGCTTCAAAGGGAAAACAGTGACGGGGGCCAGGAGAGAGGCAGGAAAGCAAAGTGGCCACAGTGTGCTACACATGCTATGATGGCAGGGATGCGGAACACCAGGGTCTCCGGGGCTGGAGCAGTAGAAGACGAGGCTGGGAGGGTGGGCAGGGCAGGCCTTGCAGCACGCTGGGTCCCAGGCTGAGGTGTCTGGGCTTTACTCTACAGGCCCAGGACCACCAGTGAAGGATTTTACATAAGAAAGTCAAGTGGGCAGATCACAAACCTTCTGTCCATGTGTTAGAGGGCATGTCTGAATGCTGACTCGGTCTAGACACGATGGGACTCTGACTTTAGCCCACTGAGAAAGACAAGGCCGTGAGAAGCAAAGCATTGTTACACATCAGTTTCCAGGTCAAAATGATCTCTTCCATCTCAAACTACAGACAGAGGCCACCTCTTCTCTGCGGTGTACTGTGTGGTCACTGGCCTGCCCCTGGGCCCTGCTGGGCTCCAGGAGGCCTCGGCCAAGCTCCTCCTGTCCTGGCAACTTCTCGGTGAGCCACACCAGGGCTGGGGCAAGGTGGGGCTGTGATATAAGAAGACTTTATACAATAAACATCCTGGGAATTCCACTTACACCAGGGGCGTCTTCTGCTCCAACAGATGCTTCTGGAGATGCTCCACTTCTTGGATGAGGCCACCATTGCTCAGCGTAAGAAGGGCCTCCCTGGAAGCTGCTTCCTATGCCTCGGGCACATCATTTGGCTCATCAGCAAAGGTGGCTCGCTCTCAGCCTTGGCAGGCGATTGGATTTTTGGAAACACCTGAAACAATTCAAGGGCAAAGTGAGAGTAACGGTGAGTAATCGACTTATGGAACATGATATTTGGTCAAACATCCAGATGTGACTAGAGTGTCCTGTGACTGGTCCCCATCACCCAGGTGCCCTTGCCTGTGCAGGTACTAACCTCCCAAAGTCCTCATTCTATAATCTGGAAGAAATTTTGTAAAGCAGAGCATGACCATGGACATGTAAGCAGCACCCAGACTCATTTTCCAGAAAGCTTTCAATGTCAAACATGCCAATACTGAGTCAATGGATACATAAATGCTTGCTGACTATTGTCTTTTTATTATTTACTTCTTTCCAATAAGGGTGACTCCTTAAATTTGTAATCACTATATACTTTCATAAGCCCTTTCATGTAAATCACTAAGAAAAACCTATCTCCTTCATCAAAGATGTCCTCATTTTTAGTTTAGAAGGTGGCTCACACCTGCAACCCCAGAACTTTGGGAGACTAAAGAGGGAGGATCACCTTGAGGCCAGGAGTTCTAGACCAGCCTGGGCAACACAGCAAAACCTCATCAAAAAATTAGCTGGGCATGATGGTGCATACCTGTAGTCCCAGCTACTTGGGAGGCTGAGGCGGAATGATCACCTGAGCCTAGAAGGTTGAGGCTGAGATGTAAACCACCCTGTTTACAGAAAGGGAGTTTCTCTGGGACCCAGAAAGGCAGAGTGATGTCCAGGCCTTCACAATGGGCCAGGTGCTGGGGGCACCTAAGAAAGCGGGAGTTGGCTCCAGAACTTAGGTAGGATGACTAAACTCCTAGTAGCATGTCTGATGCAGTTTCTGATGTTTTCGTTCACTTCCTTTACTGCCTCTGTGCCTCACATAGAAGGCTCCTCTCCATGTAAGGGTTGCTTCTAAGTGTGCAGCAGCACATAAATGTTGCTTTCCTCCAAAGGAAAAAAAAGAACAAGGGACAGGATGAAGTTCACAGAAAATTTGCTGAAAGACAATTAAGCCATGCATTTCTAACAAGGCCAGGTTCAGTCACTACTGACTTAGCTTTTCAAATCCAGGCTAGTAGCTGGGTTTTATGACTCAGGCCCCCTGACTCCAGACCCGGCTTCCAAAGGCCTCGCTGAGAAAGTCTTCCAGCAGCCACAGAATGGTGCTTGCAGGAAGCAGTAGGCCTCCTTCCCGCCCTCAGTGTCCCCAGGTTTGTTATCCAGATAAAGCCTGGTCTTCTCACAGGAAAGCTTAGCACGTGGGCTGGAGTTTGGGCTCTGGAGTGGGTTCGTGGGAGCAGATAACATGTGGTTGACAGCAGTGTGAGTGGCTTGTGTGTGCAGCGGTCGGACAGACCCCTGGCTCCCTGAACCAAGAACTTGCCTCTGTCTTCCTGCTAATGCTTCTAAATCTACAGCAGAGTCGCAATCTGGCCATCTCATGCTGTTATGGGGACCCTGCATGCCAAGACAGCATGCCCTCTGGTGGGGGGAGGCCACCCAACTGTGTAGCATTGGGAATGACTGATAGGTGCGCTGGGACAGCTGGGCATTGCTGGCAGTGCTGGGGACTTCCAGAGTGTGAGGAAATATGTCACTGGAACAGCGTTTCTTCACAGAGAGGGGGCCAAATACTTCATCACCACAGAATCAAAGATGCGCCATTTGGCACTTGAGGTGCTAACGTTCTCAGATGGGTTCTGACCGTTAATCTCAGCAAGAATCAAGCTAGTTAAGGCTGAGGTTGACTCCCCTCTCCCCTGCCCAGTCCGCAGTACTTGGCACCCAGTGGTTGCTCAAGGACTATGTTAAAGTAAAATTGGTCAAGGTGCCCAGGAAAGCAGGACGCACCACCCACCATATCCTTCCACATGCGAAGACTCACTTCTGCTCAAGGCTCATGTATGTCCTGTTCTTGTTTCCCTGGAAGCTGCGCCTATTCCTGGAAAAGTTGGATTATTCATTCATTCATGTATGTACACATTCATTAAATAGGTATTCACTGACTGTGTCCTGGACCAGCCACTGAGTAAAACCTCAGGATTTTGTAGCGGTAAAGATCCTTGAGTTAACCGAGGCCCAGAGAAGGGTGGTGACTTGTCGAAAATCACACAGCAATCTGAGGATAGAGCTGGGCTAGTACACCCAATTCCTTCAGAGCCACCCTCAGCACTGCATGTGGCCAGGGCTAGATTTACTCTTTCTGACGCCTCACTTGGCAGCCCCTTGTCTATCGCAATCCATAGCCTGGGGAGAGACATATCCCGTCTTTTGGAGCGTCTCCAAGAGAATGAATGGGGAAAATGAAGGGGAAAAAGTGCCCAGTTCCTTCAAGTCCAGCCCATGCCTGGTGCGGGTGGTCGAGGGTGATGGATTGAGTGGTGCAGTCCACTCCTGCAGGAGTTCACTGCTTAGACATTTGAGGTCCAAGCATTTGGGGACGTCCGTAATTGCCTGAGCGTGCCCACTGGGGCGGCCCTTACGGATGACCGGTTAGTGATGAGCTTCATCCATCACAGTAAGGGCCCACCCGGGGGCTCAGGACCCCGTTCCCTCCCAGCCCACTCCTCCCGCTCTTAGATGCGCCTCTGGCTTAGCGAGTGGCGGTCTTGGCAGGCCCACTCGCGAAGGCCGTCCAGTTGGAGGCCCTCGACATGACAAAAACAAGACGTA